GTAAACAAGTTAACAGACTGCGCTTGCCTAATTCGTGATCAGGAAAAAAAGGCTCAGTTCATTAAATAGATGTAAATAAATGGTTAGTTGTAGGTCATTTGTCAGCTCTCCCTGACACTCTCTTGGCTTGATGGAGGGAATAGCTTGAATAGCTCTAGCGCTGCAGCACCGCTCAGTTTTTCTGCTGTAACTGGTGCCTTGTGTAAAAGGCAGAGAAGGGGTGGGACAGGGCTGGAAAACACAGTGTCCTTTCTTGAGCAGCTTTGGGAATGACATGGGAAAGAAGTACTGCCCGTTAAAACATCGATGGGAAATAACAGACTGATTCCTCCTAGGGACAGTTTAGCAGAATCCCAGATGGGAAGAAGAGTGAAATCCAGCTTTTCCAGTGCTGCGGGGCAGCTGTCAATCTTGAAAGAATCTTTAGGAAGTAATTCTGTCACGCTTTCAGCAGGCAAGTTGTCTTTTTGTAGCTCGGTTTAGGGATTGAAGGGCCATGAAGTGTTAAAAACATTGCTGCCTGCCGAAGCGGACGTAACTGAGAGCCACGATCCGGTCTGGCGTGCCCAGACTCCTGGGGATCTTGAAACGCTGCCCAAACTGAGGAGTTCATATCCCAGCTGTTTCGCCCTTTGCCGTTAGGAACACGCAGGCTCTGCGTCAGGGCGGTTTCTTGGGTGCAAAATGCCCAGATAAACTTATCAGGACCATGAACGGGAGCAGGTCAGCAGCGTCAGAGCCAGGCGCAGCAGAGGACGGGGCTCAAGCAGGGCTCTGAGAGCTTCCCCCGCTCCTTCCCCGGAGGTGGAAGCTGAATTTCTGTCCCCTTGCCCCCGCGCTAGATCCTCCCCCTTGGCAGTGTCTCCCCGAGTCCTGCCCGCCCCTTCACTCCTGCGTATATATGACCCTCCAGGCAGCTTTTGCTCCACAAAAGTCCACCCCAAGCAGCTGAACTTCCTCCTGCGCACACCCAGCAGTGCTGAGCGTCCGATCCGACATGGGTAAGAGATCCAGCCCGTGGATCCGGCCGGGATCTGCTGCTTTTGGCTGTGAAACTCGTAAGCAGGGGCCAGGGGGCTGGTGAGGTGGCAGACTGGCGAGGAGAGCCGCGGGGCTGAAGTTCAGCGTTGCTGCTGGCTGCAGGGCTTTGCTTCCTTCAGCTGCTGAAACCTCTGTGTTCTTCAATCAGCAGCTTTAACGCTGCCAGTAAACGCCTGGTGCGCTGTCATCGAACGGCTCATCGGTCCCTCCGGCATTCAGCGACCGAAGTCAGCGCTTGGGCTCGCTGCTCTGGGTGCCTGCGGACGTGGCTGCCGGGATTGCCAGGAAACTGAGGGCCAGAATTTAACATTTTGCTTCTAAGTGTGTGGACTTTCATTTTTGGATAAATGGCCAGGAAGCCGAGGGAGGGACTAAAGCAGACGGCAGCTTTTTTGCACGTGGATGCACGACTGGGTAGTTTGCAAGGGGGACACAGTTACAGCGTGATCTCACAGAAGGGGAAGATTGCAGGCCGTAGGAAAAAAAGCCCTTATTACCCAGATTCTGGCTCAGCAGAAGTGTCCAGCCTGGTTTAGCTGGCTAGGGTGAATGTTTATCTCTGTGCTTTTGTAAGTACTACTAGTGCAAAGTAAACGCTCTTGGGTTTGCTCTGCTGCCTAGCAGCTGGTCGGTTTGTCCTGCCGGCAGGTTTGTCTGAACAGCTGGGCAGCGGTGAGGAGCGGCCAGGCCATGTGTGAAGAGTCAGTCAAATGCTTCACCTTGAGGCCGAAAGCAGCACGATGGTGACTGACCGGTCATGAGGTCTGGCGAAGTAGGTTCGGGGGACTGCAGGAGATGAAGTCATGGACCGCTATTCAAAAATGTAACAGATCATTAAAGTCCGCTTGCGAAATTGGTTACTTGGAACGAGACTTGGGCTCCAGAAGGGATGTGCCTCGTTTGTCTCTGTTCTGCCAGGCCCGTGTCTCGTGTGTGTCACATAGCTGATACACTAATTTCTTTTCTTCCCACTTGTGTGTGTATTTCGGCAGTTTAGCACCATCGTACCATAAATCAGATTTGGGTGCCTTCATTTTTCAGTGTCGGTGTTTAACCCCTGCGTACCCCTTAACTCGGAGGACTTTCTGTTTGCTCAGGATCTGCAAAAAGCCCAGTTTGGCCCAGATTATTCCACCTAACTCGTAAGTTCTCAACAGAGGCGGCTAATTTTTTGCCACATTTCTCCTAACCTCCTTCTCTAGAGTGAAGACTGTTAAGCAACAGCACTGTGAAAAAATACCCTGCCTGAAAAAGTGCAGTTTTGTAGTAAATTCAGTAACTATTGACACAGAGAGGTGCTCTTAGTCTGGGTTTAACAGCGTGAGGTAAAGGAAAGGAGCAGGAAAGGCTTTGTCTTTTTGTTTGCCCTGTTTTAGGGCAGCAGAGCTCTTCAGCTCAAGACAAGTTGCGTTCTACCCGTTGAATTCACACGTGAGGCATTGGTGGCAGAAAACATTCTTTGATTTAGCAAGACAAGGGAGGAGGACTTTGTGGGTGGGAAGCTGCCTGGAGGAGGATTTGCCTGTAAAGGTGTAAGATACACTGCAAAAAAATCTCAATGCTTTTGTCCTTGCTGGGGTTTGCAAACCCCACGTATGTGACACAACGTCCCGCTCCCTCTCCTTGGTGTTCGGAACGCTCGGTCAGCTGCCAGACTAACAGGGATCTGGAGTGTGACGAGTAATGTTAACATGTTTAGCCAGGGATTATTAGCATAGCAGTGTAAATATTATTGTTAACATGTTGCTGTGAGATGGTGCAAATCACAGTTTCATGACAAAAACCTTATTTTGTGCTCACAAATGAGCTTGGCATCGTGTAAGACGGAAGGGCTTGCATCATCCGCAGATATCTGCAGGCGGTGAGAGACAATGGTTCAGAATAAGAGTGTTTGAACGAGATCAGAGGGAAAGGAGGAAAAAATGTGTATGAGAAGGAGGAAGAGAAAACGTTCATCATCTTGCTGTGTGTTTTCTCTGGAAAACAATTTGGCACAAATAATCTTTTTCTCCAAGTAATCCGCAGAAAACTGCATTTGCAATGCTAATTGAGCTGTGGTCTAACGCATACTGAGTTCCTGCTAATTTAGGTGATTGAGAAAATTGGGATAAGGTTTAAATTATGGCTTAGACATAAATGGAACAAAGCAAACTTTATATTTTCTCTTGCCAGATAAAAATATTTCACAAAGAATGTGAAATTAAACCCAAAGCACTAAATTACTCTCTGTGAGAAGATCCCGTTTATGAAGTTTGGAGCCTGCGCCCGCAGTGAGTGGATTGCTGGAGCGTTTTGCCTTCAGAGAAAGTCTCTCTCATTAAACGGCCACTGGAGCTGTTCCTGCCTCTGGATTTGAATTCTTAGATCTGGGGCACTCTGAAATAAACCGTTGCTACAAATTTATCTTTTTAAGTATCAAAGAATGGCAAATAATTAGCTGGTTTGCTTGGTTTTATTACAGACACTTGAGGCAGGGAGGGAGGCCACTGTACTGAGTGGCTTCTGTCAACGTGTATTTCACATCACGGCGTGTTGAAAAAAAATACGCTGGCATTCCGCTGCACAGCACCGGTGTATTTTTGTGTTTTAAGCAGCTGATCATCCACCAGTTCCGTTTAGGAACCGAGCAGAAGCTTCCTGCGTGGCGTTCAGCCGGCGTGCAGCTCCGTGGCTGCGGAAAAGCCGATTTCTGTGCGTCGGTTCAGCCTGTGAATCGCAACGTGTTGTCACTGCTCCTTGAAGCAGTATCTCAGGGCAGTATTTTCTTAGTTCTAGCCAACAACTTATTGAGGCAACCCTGAGCATTATGTTCTGTTGACTATGTTAGAGTAGGAATTGCTGTGTTTTAATATAATTTAATATAATTTTTACCTGGGTGTTGGTTAGGCTCCAGACTGGTGCGAAGGAGCTAAGGCGCTTTCTAGAAGTAAGCTGAAACGGTCGAGAGTATTACAGGTTAGCAGTGAGCAGTGCTTTCTGCTCGCTGGGGATGAAGTTCTTAATTCTGGGAGATCCTACTGTAGGAGTGCTGTCTTTTTGGAAGTGCACACATCGGTTTCCAGAGGGAGAGGCTGTAGGTGATGACTGCTGTGGTTGCCATCCCCATCGAGACGTTGAGGGTTTCAGAGACACCCAGACGCGCCGGCGCGTTATGCCTCTCGGTGCTGAAGAGCGTTGCTTCTCTGTCTTCAGCCACTGTGAAACAACCTTTTCCACCTGAGGCAGAGCCCAGCCTTCAACCACACACGGCCCTTCTGCTTGGTGGCTTCTCTCCCCAGAGGACACTGAGATTCCTAAAACTACTGATTCGTGATGCAGTTGCTGGGCCAGGAGTGGTGAATGAGCAAGGCCGGTCCAAGGAGGTTTCTGGCAGCTCTAACAGTGGCGTGAGAGCAGAGGCGGGGAGCTGAGTGTGTAATAGAGAGAACGTGGAGCGGTCCATAATTCCCCTGCCTCTTCTTCTTCTGGTCACCTGCAGCATCACCTCTTACCCAGGCTGTAAATTCTCAAAAATAACCACGTCTTCAGCATTTATATGCAGAGGAAGACTGGAGGCTTTCCAGTGATAATAAAACGGGTTGTTCAAATGGGGCGATCTGTCTGCTTACTCATCTGGCAGTGATTCAGCAGCTCTCTGTAAAACATTTAACACAATTTTCTTACATCGCAAACCCTTGTCATATATGAATGTGCTTTAAAATTGTCAGGCTGAACTTGAAATGAAGGCCGAAATTTCCCATTATTTCTGAGCATGGGGTGTCATATCGTGTATATCTTCAGAAACTCCAGTAACCTCAGCACTGACTGGAGTCAGCGAGACTTACAGGTGTTGGGCAATGCAGAAACTGGACCTAAGATTTGTCAATCTCTGAAGGCAAAGCCATTGTCCTCTTAGAGCTATGCTTTGAAATAATTTGGAGATTAAAAGACCTTCTTTTTTTTCCTCCAATCAGCCAAATGCGGAGCCTGCGGTCCAGGATATGCCACTCCTCTGGATGCCATGAAAGGCAAGTACTGTACCATCTTTTCCAAATTCAGTCTGTCAGTAGAGGGAGGGTTTTAAAGCAGGTGCAGACGGGGCAGATGCCTTCCAGAGGGGCTCATTAATTAGCAAGGCCAAGGAGACTTTGAGTATCAGAAGAGATTTTGTTTCATTTTGCCCCCAGCTCTGGGCAAAGCATGCAAGCCCTGTTACCATGAGTTCGGTCAGTCATAGCACTAAAGCGGGTCTGGGTTTCGACGCACACGTGGCCGTAGGGTGCTCACACTCACAGACTCGTCTGGTTTTCTGTGCTGCAAGACAGAGCTTTGCTTTAAGAGTCTTGAGAGCAAGGGTTTAGCCTAAAAAAACAGAAAAGAAAAGGTTTCATTGGTGGTTCTGGATGGAGACCTTGGTGGACTGCCCTCAGACCCTCACAAAAACAAGTGACTGTCCGGGACAGAAGGGGAAGAGGGGAGAAAGGACTGTGGGGGACTCTGTGGGACAGTTGGATGGCAAGCTCCTCACCCGCCATAGCTGAGACAAAGTCATGTTCTGTTCTTCCCAGCAGTCTGGTGAAATCCTGAACCTCACTAAAGCCCTCGAGGCATTTTGCTGTAGCTTTCAACAGTGTCAGAACTTCACCTTGAGGCCTTTGGTATATTTTATAGATTTATAGACTGTAGTCAGCAGGCTCATAGCATAGGTACACTGAAATCTGGGCCCTGGCAGCAGGGAGTCATCATTTGTGTACCTGGGGGAAGGAGAGGCTCGCTGTGGCCATGCGGGTGGGAAGATGGTCTCCAGCCCTGTCCTTTTTCAGGAGCATAATTGCATTCCCAGAGCCTCTTACGTTAAGAGGGCAGGGGAGCGGAAAGGCCTCGCTATGTGCTACTGGTGCGTCTCCATAAAACAGAGACAGTGAGGCTCAGCTTCCTGGGAAGGATCGCGATTTACAGACAGAGATTAAATCCAGAGAAGGTTCTTTTAAAGTTAACGGCAGCTTTTTGTAAAAATGGTTTCTTTGGATGCATTAAACAAGACTTCTGCCTTGACAGGTCCCCGGGAGGAGATTGTGTATGTGCCTTGTATCTACAGGAACACTGGGATAGAGAAGCCTGACTACCTGGCCACTGTGGATGTCGACCCCAAATCTCCGCACTATTGTCAGGTACCGGCGTGTAGGATGGCTCCAGTGCTCCATTTCCTGGGTGGTGAATATCTGGGTTCGCAAAATCATTTTCAAGCAGGTATTTGTGTTGGGAACCAATCAAATCCTCTGCTGTTTTCCTTAGGAGGTTACTCAAAGCTGGCATTTATGCTGTTAGTCTCAAGACATTTCCAGAGCATTTTTGTGCTTAGTATTTGAGTAGTTCTTTTTGTGACGCTCTTACTGATTTATACTGAGCGAGAGTATTAAGCTCTAGAGGGTGATCTTTCCTTGGGGTGTGCCAGTAGGATAGGCAGAGTGTATAATGTAGGTTGTCTGGTACCCTGGGAAGTTCTACACGTTGGGCAGTATAAACCCCATCCATTTACTGGAGAAATGGGAAGCTGTGGGGAGGTAGCTGCCAACATCCCACATCCTAAATACGGGTAGGACTGTCCTGAAGCTGCTCAGTTTGTTACTGCAGATAGCGTGCCCTAAACGGCATTGAAGCACACAGTGCTCGTGTGGCTGAACTGACTGAATATACTTTGGACTCTGGGCTCTGTGTTTAAGGAGCAGCGAATGTGGTTGGACAACAAAGACTTTCATAATTTGTTCTTTTTTTTTTTTTTTATAACTACTGCTTAGGGTTTCGTTGGGGAGGAGTGGAGGAAACGAATCTCCTAAAACCTTGACAAAACTTAGCTGTGATCTTTCAACTTTTCTTAGCTGTACAGTGGAAAAGTAAAAGCTGGGAGCAAGAGTGCAAATTAACGAGTCAGTTTGCTCCAGTCAGCCCCAGTTGTAATTGGGTAAATCTTGTCCAGAGAGAGACTTGCAGCGCATGGACAAGTGATGGTTTTTTCTGTTGTTTTTTTCCAGGTCATTACTGCATGTCTCCTTAATTAGAGTCTTTGTAAGAGTTGGGTTCATTTAATAGTGTACAGCGTTCACCAAATGCCCTGCAATCATGGGGTCCAGCTTTCTTCTCCCACTTTCCAGCTCCAGCTCTGCATATCGCAGGCTGAATCTGCTTCCTGAATAACAAATAGCAGTTTCCTTCTGCTCTTTATTAATTTATGCTTTGACATAAAGATCCATTTCTTTGCCTGGGGGAAAAACTATCTGAGACTGAATCTTAAGGCTGTCTCTGACTCTGTAGGTGATCCATCGCCTGCCCATGCCGAATCTGAAGGACGAGCTCCATCATTCAGGGTGGAATGCCTGTAGCAGCTGCTTTGGGGATGCCACAAAGAGAAGAAATCGGCTGATTCTACCAAGTCTGATCTCTTCTCGAATTTATGTGGTGGATGTAGGAACAGACTTGCGAGCGCCTAGAATCCATAAGGTAGTTTAATGACTTTAAGATCAAGTGTTATTTCTTATATTTTGACCAAGAGATGGTGATTTTATGGATTCCAACTTCAAATCAGAGTAGGAGAGCCAGAGCAGTTATGGAAACTTTTGTCAAACAGCAGGAACTTGTGGGAGTTTTGAAACTCCTACGATTTATTGATAAACTACATACAAAAATCTTGCTAAAGAAATACGAGTAAATGTGGTGTCAGCCACTGAAAAATTAGGAAGTTCCACAATTCAGCCTGCCTCTGCAATGTGAGTTTCAGTCGAAATAGTTGCACACTGTGGTATTGTTTTTGACAACAAGATCATGAGGCAAACTCCTACATGACACATTCAGCTGTAGATTGTGTGTTTTTCAGAGAGGAGTTCAAATTTGATTGGATTTTCACCGGGCAAAACCAGATCTCCTCCGTAAGGGACACCCCCTCCTTGATTTGTAATCCTTTGTTCCTAAACATTTGATACGCAGATTTTTTTAAAAGAAAAAGTTAAGAAAAAGTTTTAATATGGGGAAATGAACGTTTTTTAAAGTCTCTTGTTCATGAAAACAATTGAAATTTTCTCAAAATAAAACTTCCACTGCGGTAGAATTCATTTGGCAGAGACACAGCTATTGGCATAGGCGCATGTTCGGATATAGACCTACACTTTTCCATGTCTGTTTAGATTCTCTTTACAGTCAGGGGAAAAAAAATAGGCATTGCTGGAGTCAGGATTGTCTAACCTAGTTGAGAAAACTGTTTTGGGGTAAAAGAATTGTGTCTTAGGAGTGTTTGTTTCTTTTCACTGCGTGTAAAGTAAGCACAGAGCCTCAGCTGAGATGTAAATACACACACTGCAGCCTTTGTGCTCGGTCAGGTGCATCCTGCAGCAACGTGTGAAACTTCAGCACAAAGTTCCAGCTTTGGCAGTTTATCAAAAACAGCCATTGAGGACAGGTCATAATTGGAATGTAACGACACTTGGGAGTGGTCTTTTGTCCCACCCCACCTGCCTGCAAATACTGTTGTTCATGGGCTTCCAGTTTTGGGTTCCGTGGAACCTCGCCAGCCTTTACCTGTGAGGGCAGTGGAATAAGAGCCCCAAAGGTCTCTTCTCGTACAGCGAAGGTTGTTTCAAACTAGAGTGGCTCTCAAGCCTCAAAGACTTTTTTCCCCGCTCTGAACTGCTCGTACTCCAGTGAGAGCTGCTGGGTTGATACTGCACGAGTGGTGCTGCTGCCGCTGCCGCGAATTAAAACAAACGCAGATGTCAGTGTCTCACCGATGGACGAATTAGGTTGGTCCTAACCACTAAGCTCTCGCTGTTTATATTTTTGAGAAGAACAAACAAATGTCGTGGATGGTGCTCTATTACTGGGCAGAGTAGAAGGCAAGAGGAGGCAGGTACTCAAAAAACGAAATGCCAAGAGAAACACCCCCCCTCACATGTGCTGTTCCCACTCCTTCCTCGCTCTGAAACTTGGACTCTTGGGGGTGGAGCTGCTGTTCTGTCGCGATTGCTGTGAAGGTGACTGTGGCTGTGTGTGCTCCCCTTTTAGACTGTCGAGCCGGTGGAGTTATTCTGGAAGGGTAACGTGGCTAATCCTCACACCTCTCACTGTCTGGGCAGTGGTGACATCTTGATCAGCTGTTTGGGAGACCCTTCTGGCAATGGAAAAGGTACTAATCCCCTCCATTACTCTTGAAAAGTGCTCATGGTGTAGAAGTATCGTGCTCCCGAAGTGCAGGCTGCAAAGCTAGAAGGATTTTTAAGAGCTTACAGTTCTTTTGTGCACATAACCGTTCCAGCGGTGGTTTGTGTAAGTGTAGAGTAACGACTCGTTACCAGGCGAGCTGTGTGGGCATCGCTCTGCCCCAGCGGGTCAGCCCTGGTGGGGAGGAGCCGCTGTGGGCCTGTCGATGAGTTCAGCTGCCACGTCGCAGTCGTTCACGCGTGTTACTAACTCTGGTGTTTATAACATGGGTGAGGGGCCCATTGCCGTTTCACTGGGGTCCCTTCAGCACAGAGCAAGGACGAATTGCTTTTGAACAGAATCTGCTTCAGCTCAGTAGTTGTGACCTGGGCACGAAAGATTCTGTTGCCAACCGAAATCCTCTTTGTCTCGTTGGCTGATCAAAATTAGGCCTTTCAAGCTGTTCCAGATTGCATTTCCTATTGAAAACCTTTGATGGATTCTTGCATATAAATTTTGTTACCTGTTCAGACATAAAGCAGCTGGTGTCCAAAGGGAAGTACTAGCTATTAGAGGAAATACCTTCAGATGGCGGGTGGTGAACCCTGCTCCTTTTCACAGGGCTTTTCTCTTCTGGCTCATGGGCAAACATGTCCTTGAGCAGCTGCACATTGTGTGCATAATTCAAGGATACTGCTGGCATGTGAAGGAAAACAGAGGTGACTCCTCCAGAATCTTTGAGATATCCCTTAATCAAAATGTACTCTAGGAGGGCTAACGGATTTATTGGAGTGACTTGAGTAGAAACAGAGCAAACTGAAGCTTAAAAAATTCATTACAATGTGATAAAGTTCTTTAAAAATCCAGCTTCCGTTTGCTTTAATTCACAAATCAAAACCAACAGTCAGAAAATCTTCCTTAAGCATGGGGTTGCATTTTACAGTGTGTTTAGAAAATAGACATTTAAATATTAAAATATTAATTATCTTATTTAAAGCTGTGAATCTGTGTGAAAGTCTTCAAACAGATTTCTTTGGTCTTTTATATCAGGTAGCTTTGTTTTGCTGGATGGAGAGACCTTTGAAGTGAAAGGAAACTGGGAGAAGGAAAAGGTACCCCCCCTGTCCTATGACTTCTGGTATCAGCCACGGCACAATGTCCTGATGAGCACTGAATGGGGAACCCCGAAAGTCTTGGCAGATGGGTTTAACCCAGCTGATGTGGAGAGAGGTGAGGGAGCATTTGTTCAAACTCTCAAAAGTAGAAGTGATTCTTTGTTAAAGTAGTACCTTCTGTGCTTCTTTCTGTGCGACCCGATCCACTAGGGCATTATGGCAGCCGCATCAACGTGTGGGACTGGAGCACTCACACCTACGTTCAGGCCATTGACTTGGGGAAGGGCTCCATTCCTCTGGAAATCCGGTTTCTCCACAATCCGGACGCTGCGGAAGGGTTTGTTGGGTGTGCTCTGAGCGGGGCAGTGCATCGGTTCTACAAGACGGAGGTCAGTAGCGAAAGCCGTGGCGAACACAGAAGCTCAAACCTCGTTGTTTCAGGAATCCACCAATCATGCAGGAAATAGTAGCATGCGAATTAAAAAAAATGTGGCTCCTAATTCTAGCTGAGCTGTAACACTGTGTCAGAGAGCAAACCCTCCCATGACAGCGTGCGCCCAAGACAGTGCCGTGGCTTTCTGAACCTACCGTGTAGTCCCTCAGCTTTGAGCAACTGCAGTTGGCAGGCATTTTGAGTGTCTCTGCAGCCATGTTGCTGACCTCCAGCCTGCAGGTCTTCAGCAGCCTAGTCCTGAAAGGAAGCAGAGCTCAAGTGCTCATGGTGCTGGTCTGTCAGCCGCCCTTCCAGCGCTCCTGCCCTCCACGGTAGCTTGTGGATCAATTTAATCACAGTTAATGAATTGTGAAAATCTCAAAGAGGGGAAGGTCCTGCCAATGACAGGGTCGTTAGCGATCGCTTGAACGTGAGACCATCTCATGAACACTTGCACCGAGGAGGGGCTGCGCTTGCTTTCTGGCCTGCAAGCTGGTCAACAGACACGTGTCAGCTGGACAGGCAACCAGAACATGGGAAACTTGTCACCAGTGCCAGCGCATGCTGCCTGCTGCTCAGCCAGTAGTTGGAATCATAGGGAAGACTTGAAGGTAGAGGAGGGAGGGAAGGTGGTGGGGTCACGGCCAGGGGATAGAGCTATTGCTGTTTTAGCGGGCGAGCTGCAGACAGGTAGATCAACAGTCTTTAGTTCTGCTGCTGTTACAGCAGGCTGAGATGTCGTTGCACAGTATAATCATTAACGTTCTTGCTGGCAGCGTAGTTACCATCCTCACCCCTTGGTAACACGTATTTGCGGTGTACGTATCACCTCTGTACAGGACCTGCTAAATCAATAGCGCTGTTTGCTCCCCCTCCCTCTGCCACACATAGCTGAGCCCTCTGGGCGGACACCAAGGCGATAACCATGCCGTGTTCTCTCCTGTGCCTTCTGCAGAAAGGAGACTGGGCAGCGGAGAAGGTGATTGAAGTGCCCAGCAAGAAGGTGCAAGGATGGCTTCTCCCCGACATGCCTGGTTAGTGTGAGCGTGTTTGGGAAAGAAATGGGGTGTTTCCTCTCCAGTCCCTGTACAGCTTGTGGCGAAATCTCACCCTTGAGTGGCAAACGCTTCTCGTGCAAAGTACTAAGTTTCTGTTTGGGTTCTTCTTGTGTGTAACCCTTCTGGTGGAACCAAATCAGCCCTGCTTCGGAGCCACCGAGCAGGAGATTGTCAGACCTCTGCTCCCACCCCGCTCAGTGCTTGAGTCCATTTCCCTAGAAAAACACTTGGAGTTTGGGTCTTTCAGCCATGAGCTCACAGTATCCAGGAATGGTCCTGGGAATGCTGGTAGAGCCTGAACCTCCTTTGAGTAGGCACTGGCTTTCCAAGGATGATGGTGTTTGTTCAACCTTCATCTTAACAAGATCTTGCTGACCCTGTCCATTTCCTGACTTGGCTACTAAATATTTTCATGAAGGTCTTATCACCGACATCCTCATCTCACTGGACGACAGGTTCCTGTACTTCAGCAACTGGCTGCACGGAGACATCCGCCAATACGACATCTCCGACACCCGCAAGCCCAAGCTGGTGGGGCAGGTGAGGCGGCAGCAGGAACGCTGTCACGTGCAGGGCGGTACAGTCCGCTTACTGCGTTCTTCTTTCAAAGGAGAACACGACAATTCACTTTGCTCGGGAATTGTCACTGCGTTGCTACCACGTTCTTTGCTGCCCAGCGCCTGTCCTCAGGGATTCCCTTGGTTACAGGTGTTTCTGGGAGGCAGCATCACCAAGGGAGGGCCTGTAACCGTAGTGGCAGACCAGGAGTTGCAGTGTCAGCCCGAGCCATTTGTGATCAAGGTGAGTTGTTCTCCTAACGCGCGTGTTGTCGCTGTTCTGCTACTTGTGAGCCCTTCTAAAACTTCCCTGCGCCCCCGTCAAAGGCACGACCCACAAAGCCGTGTCTGGGCTGGTTTGTTCTTGGCTTACAGCCTGGGCAGGTTTCACACTTCAGCACAGACCAGAGCTACGACATCCTGGCCAGTGCTCTGGGTTGCTGGTGGAACTGGACCAGCTGTTCAGCTGCCCCGAGGCCTGGGTAGTTCCATCTTCCCTGCTGTTGTTCCGAGCTAATGGAAAGCCAACGCAGGGTGCATTCGTCACACTGCCACCGCTGCTTCTGACCATCTCCCAACAACTGACGGTTGAAGCACTAAACCAGCCCATTCTGCAGGTTCCTTGTGTGTGTTTGTGTGCGTGTGAAGATTTCACCTGACATCACGGCAGAAAAATGATAGAGAATTAATTGTCTCTGATGATTATCAAGGTGCATTAATATTGTCACTGTCAAGGCAGCTACCTGTGGAAAGTCTCACAGGATGTGCAAGAACAGTGTGGTCACAGCTGAGGTCTGTTGGTCACCGAGGGCAGTTTCAGGAATTTCCCACGCTCCTTTTCTTCATAGTGCGGACTGTGGCTGAGCAGCTGCATAGGCATGTGCTTATTTGCAACCGCGCTGTGCCACCCCTCTCTTGATTTTTGGCGCTTCCACGCAAGTACAGCAATCTGCACCCTTCAGCCCTTACTTTCGTACATGACTAGTTCTGGAACTCACCTGGGTTGGCTCTGAGGCTCCCTGTCAATAAGGAATAAGACTCCCAATAAAAACTCTTCTCTCTCCAAAACAGGGGATTTGCTGCTCCTGTGTGAAGGATGTCAGAGGGCTGGATGGTCTGCGAGCAGCAGAACTGCCGTGCTGCTTTGATTCTCCTTGCTGTTGCATTCCTTTTGTTCAGCCTCCAAGGCAGCTTGTCTTGAGCACCTTGTTCTCTATTGTCATTTTAGGGGAGGAAGGTGCCAGGAGGACCTCAGATGATTCAGCTTAGCTTGGATGGGAAGAGATTGTATGTCACCAGCTCTCTCTACAGTGGATGGGACAAGCAGTTCTACCCAGACCTTCTCAAGTAAGAAAAATGTGATTGTGCAAACCCATGTTCAAGATTTCTTTCTTAGATAGCGGTATGTGTATAGCAGCAGATGTGCAGAGCAAGGTTCCCATGCCGGGAGACCGAATCCGGTAGCTTTTTATACACAGCTTACCCACTCGGTGCTCGCCCCGCCAGCCAGAACCCTCCCGGCTCAACGGGCACACCAAAGCGGGGCTGCACACACCGCTTGTGGCAATCATCATCTGGTTGGAAGTAGATGAGAATGGGAAGAAACCGGGGAACGTGACCTGGCCCCCTGGAGCCCGTAGTGCTTCCAAACAGCCTTTGTGTGTCTCGGCATGACTTTCTGTTGCTTTGGCGTTAAAGAAAGGAGAGGATGATCTTCCAGATGTCCGTGGGAGGGCACAGTGCGGCCTGCCTGTTCTTTCATAACTGACAGCAGCCATTAATTTTCACTCATTCATTGCTAATGTGAGGTTGCAGGTTTTTCACTGAGGCAATGTAACTCACTTTTGAGACCTGCTAAGGCCCATTTTGAATCCGGGATACTCCCATTTTATATTTAATGAAGACAAATCCTGCCCAAATATGGAAGAGAAGAGCAACAACTATGAATCCTTTTCCCAATATCTGTTTTCTTGTCTCTTTTTCAGGCAAGGCTCTGTTATGCTGCAGATTGATGTGGATACTGAAAGAGGTGGATTGAAAGTGAATAAAAACTTCCTAGTGGATTTTGGGAAGGAACCTGATGGGCCTGTCCTAGCTCATGAGATTCGTTACCCTGGTGGAGACTGTACCTCTGATATCTGGATGTAATGGTTGCATGGAGCTGTTTCCTGGGGTTTTCGTTCTGTCTTTTTTTCTCTTTCTCCCTCTCTCTCCTCTCTGCCCTCTGCTTCCCTCTTGCATAGGTGAACTGGGTCAGCTGGAACTTTGACCGCTACCTAAATTTAGGCTTCCCTTCGGGTAAGCCACAGAAGCTCCACTTTCTTCTCATTCTGAGGCAGCCAAGTGCATCTCCCTGAAACACGATATCCATCTTGTTTTCTCTACTCCTTCCCCATTCCTGAGGTCCTGTGTAATCGCTGCTGATGGTTTCAAGGCCAAGGTCACCAGTCTTTTAAGGACTGTTTGCCTTGTTTGGTGCCACTTTGCTTCACCACTGTTTGTTGGTGGAGAATCTGTCCCTAAATTGCTCCATAGGAAGGATATGTTCTATGGGCTTGCCCCAGAGCAAGAGAGTCCTGTCCCTGCAAAGCTTAATTTCCTCATAAAGTAATGGGTGCTTTACAGCAGACACAGCCTAGAAATCACGCGTACCTAATCTGAAGCCACTTGTTTCCAGAGCTGGGTTATATTGTAACATTTGTGCACTGATGTTGTAAAAAATCAACAATAAAATTGTTCTTCAGGTCAGGTGGAGCTGCGCTTTTTTTTTTTTTTCTTTTTAGCATTTCAGCATTTTCTGTTTCAAAGAACATAAAATGTAAGGTCCTTTCAGAAAGTCAGCAATGTCATTTGTCTAAAAATTCTTTGGTGAGGAGTTTACTTTCGCTGAAGCCACCTTTGTTCCCGTTATTGCATGCGAAGCTTCTCTTTACGACTGGAGAAGACTGCAGAAAACTTCTCTGATGATGCCAGCAGCAAGTGTCTGTCAGGTGTCTTGCAACTTCTTGAACAGACAAGCCCTCATGAGTCCACCCTTTCTTCTCTTGCCAGGTCCTAGCGCATCCTCCCTAAGCTGTTTCTTGGGTTGGATTCTCTTTTCTGCCTCCCTAGATCGGTTGCTTTCCCCTCTGGGTCCATTGCCAGCCTCTGCCGCTTGCTGCTGAGCTTTGGCATCGCCGGTCGTAACGCCGGGATCACGTCGGCAGTCTCGGAGGAGCAGCGTCATAACGGGACTTCCCACTGGAGCCTTCTGGCTGGGGTTTGTCTGACTTTTACTGTGCTTCCTCGGCAAAATCCTCATCTCGCTGACAGATCTGGCTTTATAACCAAGGCTTTGTTCTGTATGTAGCTGCTCACTGTCTTGCCTAACATTTGGAACCAGGCTTTGAGGGGTCAGGTCTGTGTTTTTAACGTAGGGCAGCTGCACTGCTGCCACTCGGTCTCTTCGAAACCTGCGACAAGCCCCACTCTGTTAGGACCTTGTGAAGCCAGAAAGCTTTCTAAATGATCGGGCCTTGTAGCCACCTGTGGCTGATGGAAAAGCCTATTTTCAGCAGCTTCTCGTTAGAAATGGGTGATGTTGCTGCAAGGACTCATTGTTTTCCTTGCGAAAGGACTGTTTTTCGGGATGGAGCGTGCACTGCTAACCTGTGTGAACGCTGCGGAGTGGGTACAGGGAGTGCTCAGTGTCTGAACAACCTCATGGTGCCCAGGAAAGGCACTGATTTGTTAGGAAATCGTTTGCTACCACCCCATACTGCTGGAGCCCGTATTTTTTTTGCACCTATTTTGTGTAAGACTGAGCGTTTTAAATCGAAGAAGGTGCATGCTTTTCCACATGGCCACGTGAGGGCAGACTGCAGCCTGTAAGTACGTCCGCGAGTTTCTCTCGCTCTACAAGCAGTTTTAGGTCGTGATTTTCCACAGGTCACAAACTTGCTAGTGGGGGTGGCCCTCAGGCCTCTTCTGGGTCCATCAGCATACTGCAGGGTGAACTGAGGTCTCTCATTCCAGCTGCAGCGAGCACTCCGGTCTGGATCCTGTCCTGAAATCCCACTTGGAAATGCCCCTGAATGGAAGTGTGCACAGCTGCTGAAGTGCAAGGGCTTCTGTGCCTTGTAGAAGGCAAATGTTAAATGCCAGAAGGTGCTTAGAGAAAGTGTGGGACTCACTTGAATGAAAATACTTTGTTTTTCCTAATGGCTGCTAATCTGGGTGCTGGAAAAGGTAGGCTGTGAGTAGAGTTTCTTGTGGCTCTGGGAAGGAACCAGTGGGTCTCGTCATGCTCGGGGATCCACGTTACGGATTCTGCTTTTGGTCTGTGTGCCTGCAAGGTGAGTTTCACCAGGCACTCACCTGGCCATGGTGACTGACCACCTTCACTGGCTCTGAGGACGTTTCTGAGGGGACACTGGCGTGGTAAGTACCCCCAGTCAGAGGCCATCGGAGATGGACCCCAGAATTTCAGACATTAGCCAATTGCCCGCTGCTGGGGGAACCTCCAAAGGTGGTGGAAAACCTCACCCTAGTGACTGGCCATCACCTCTCTCATGCTTGTCAAAGTGGAGGAAACACACACAGTGGAACAAAGTAAGTTGGCAAATGCAGAGGAGGCCCAGACATCTGGTGGGTCAAAAAAAGACACTCATGTGTTCGTTCAGTAGTATTGTAGAGCTTCCACCCCCTGGCCAAGACCCACCCCTGCTCACAGGCACCCAAAACTGGGTCTGCACACACGGTTTCACGCTGCTTGTTGAACCCACAATCAGTCGGGAGGTGGGCAGGAACGTGAAGAAACCCGTGAACATGACCTGGCCTTCTGCAGGCTGCGGTACTGCCAGGCTGCCTCTGGGTGCATCAGCCTGACTTCGGGTTTTGGCGTCACAGCGGGTGCTCTTCAGACGGCCGCAGGGGGGCACAGCGCAGCTCCCCGGCCCCTTCCCGAGTGCTGATTCCTGGGCTGCGCTCCCTGGCTGGTACTTTGAGGTGGAGATTCATTCCTATTTCTACCGCCAAGGTCGTATCCAGGATGAGTAGGTGTGTTTATACAAAAAAAGAGGGTCTGTTTGTAGTATTTTCAACTACAGGTGGGAGAGGACAGCACGATACGTTACATCCCAGTTAGTAACTGGGAGAGGTACAGAATGGAGAACAGTTTCTGCTTAAATGAAGTCAGAGCAGTTGTGATGAAAGTCACCATTAAAAAACTCTGGGTTTCAGCCTGCTGCCTTGAGCTCTACTTCTC